AGAGAGAGATTAATTGAAGACGAATCAGAAGGAGTTTTTCTGTCGAGTCGACATTTTTTAGCATTTTAAAGATTACAAGACATTTCGGTTTGCTGCATCGGCGGTCCAGCTGCCCGTTTCCCGCTCGTCCCTCGCCAAGCAAACTCACCCACGGAGGCAGGTGAGCTGGCACGGCGGTCAGCTGCCGTTTCCGCCTCGGTCCCTCGCCAGCACTCACCCACGAGGGCAGTGTAGCTGCAGGCGGCAGCTGCCCGTTTCCCCCGTCCCTCGCCAAGCATCCCCCACGGAGGCAGGTGAGCTCAGGCGGTCCAGCTGCCCTTTCGCCCCGTCCCTCCGCCAAAGCAGCCCCGCACGGCAGTAGACTGCAGGCGGTCAGCTGCCCGTTTCCCCCGTCCCTCCAGACTGCACCACGAGCAGGTGAGCTGCAGCGCGTCGCTGCCCGTTCCCCCGTCCCTCGCCAAGCACTCTACCCACGAAGGCAGTAGACTGCAGCGTCAGCTGCCCCGTTTCCCCCTCGTCCCTCGCCAACCTCCACACCACAAGGCACGTGAGCCTGCAGGCGGTCAGCTGCCCTTCCCCTCCGTCCCTCGCCAGCCATCACCCACGAGGCAGTGAGCTGCAGCGTCAGCTGCCCTTCCGCGCCCGTCCCCGCCAATGCACTCACCCACGCAGCAGGTGAGCTGCAGTCAGGCCGTTCCCGTACTGAGCCTCACGCCCAGTTCTCAACCCTCGTCCCCTCCTGCCCTCCACTCACACGAGCAGGTGAGCGCAGGCCGGTCACTGCCCGTTTCCCCCGTCCCTCGCCAAGCATCACGCCAACGAGGCAGAGTGAGCTCAGGCGGTTCCCGCGGCGGACGCGAGCGCGCCGCCGCCGCCGCCGGGGCCCCCTGGCCCTCGCATGAGCCGCACGGCGTCGGTCGGCCTTGGCGCGGCGGCAGCGCCGCTCGCGCTCCGCCCACCAGGAAACGGGCAGCTGACCGCCTGCAGCTCACCTGCCTCGTGGGTGAGTGCTTGGCGAGGGACGAGGGGAAACGGGCAGCTGACCGCCTGCAGCAAAAACGAAATGTCTTGTAATCCTTTAAATTGCCTAAAAAAAATGTGACTATACAAAAACTCCTTTGATCGTCTTTCAATTATTCACTATTTTGTTCATCAATCTGTCATTCAATAATATCCCCTTAAGGGCAATTAAAAATATATTAATTTTGTTTAGAATTAGCAATTATTTATTTCTTTGATTACGTATATTCAATTGCCCATACACTTGCAGACGAAAATATCTGTTCTCCAAACTGAGGACTTGAGCCACTTGTTCCTAATTTTCATAAATTTTTATATTGCTATAAAGAACTGTATACACCTTGATTTTTTTTCCGCAGGCCAAGGACGATATGGAAGTGTGTGGAAAGGATCTTATCAGGATCGTGATGTAGCTGTTAAAATTTTCCCGGCGCATCATCGTCAATACTATCTTAACGAACGTGACATTTATTGCCTTCCATTCATGGACTGCCCTGCTCTCTTGTCATACTATGGTAACTGTAAAAAAATATGATTTACATTGAAATGTGTTACATTGTTTTGTTTGTATGATACAGGCAAAAGTTTTTTTGTTTAGTTTTCTTTGTTGTTTTTTTTGTCACGATAATTTTCTGTTGAATTACAGGATGTGAAGAGCGACCTAGTGTAGAAGGTGGTCTGCAATACTTGCTTGTATTGTCTTATGCACCTAATGGGAGTTTGCAAGATTACCTTCGCTCACATACGTTAGATTGTGCCACATTTTGTCGCATGGCTCAAGGTGTAGCACGGGGATTGGCTCATCTCCACACAGATGTACGCAAAGGAGGTAGGTATCTGAACAGCTGGTTGTCATGCTTAAAAGTATAGTATGACCCGAATATATCGAGCACTTGCATTATGAATTATTACAGACGGAATTTTTTGCGGCGTCTTCCTACAACTACAAAATTGAAGATAGAGATTTTTCCATCAAATAAAATTTGTTCCCCATAGTGAGTTATTTCATTAAGGCCATGCATATTTTTTTTTTAAGTTCAGTAGTTTTGGGGTCAATATTGCTGCAGTATGTGCAATTTTCAAAAATTACAAAACTAAGATTTTCTCAAAAACGGCTCCAAATTTTTTCTCTAATTTTTGGTAGGGATAATGCTAAAATTACTCTATGAGATGACATAAACACCATGTTGCTCTATGCTTTTGTTTTTTCAAAAACTTCAAAAATGTAATTTGGCATACATGTATACATGTGCATAATGCGTACATGTGCTTTAAACAATGTCAAATAGTTTCTCGAAAACTCACCTGTTTTCTGTGAAAATTGGCTCATAATTCCTCATTGTCAGAAACACTCTAATGCCATTCCCGTACACCTTTCCAAGGTCAGAGAATCAGAGAGGGAATTCTCCTAAGGCATACGCCTTGAGAGACAAGCTACCCCAAGGTGAAATTCTACGCTTAGGGCTGAAGCCCCTCTCATTCAATGTCCATTTGCCATGACTAAATCGCATATCACAGCGATAGAGAACTTAAAACTAGCTTGCTCTCTGCCAATTGAATTATAAATTCACAGGAATTCTGTTATATAATTTTTTTTCTCCTGCAGGACATTTAAGACAGTTCTGATTCCGCATTGAACAACTTCTGTTTTATGCTGTGTAAAGTGCCATTTAACTTCACGGGCTAGAGAAATTTTCTGGTTTCCGGCATGTAGTTTCCAGTTTAGACAGATTTTAATGTATAATAAGATGGCTGATGTAATAAAGAAAATAAGCCTGGAATGCGATTTGTTTTATTTTTGTGTCGATATCCGCGCACGGGGATCTCTTCCGGAAACCGGTGTGGTGCACCAGTTGCACCAGACTGGCTACACCCCTCATCCTAAGACTGAATGACAGATACAAAAGAAGAGGAACATGGTTTTTTAATATTTTGTTGCTCTATACCAGAAAAGAATTTACAATCAAGTTCATTTAATATTTTTTGTAATCAATGACATTTTGATTATACCTGTCATATTTGGCTGTAGAACTCTATTTGACTCCTTTCATCTTCATTCCCTCAGAGGTTTGACACCTACCCTATTGGTGTTAAACCTCTGGGGGAACCTCTGAATTAAGACTTGATTTCCTTTTAACATTATTGGTATAATGTCGTGGAATAAAGATGATTTTAACAAAGGTCATGAATCTACCCTGTTTAACTACAGGAAAGTAACTCATTGGAATTTTATTACATGTTATGAAAACTATTCGATGAACTTATTTCAGTTTCTGAATGCAACCATAAAAGAGACAGAATATTGCTTTTGGTATCTTAATTTCTCAAAACTGAATAATACAGAAAAATTATAACAATATTACTTGCTTAGTTGGGTGTAGTCAGGCAAGTAGTACTCTGCAATCATTTGACATTGTTACATTTTTATGTTTACTTTATTTACAATGTTTACTTTATTTATATTTGTAAGCTAACTGAATAAAATATTAATATCCTTTAAAATTAATTATTTCTAATTTTCCAGATAAAGTGAAGCCATGTGTCAGTCATCGTGATCTCAATACCAGAAATATTTTGGTGACTAATGACCTTGGCACAGTTCTATGTGATCTAGGTTTTGCTATGAAACTTCAAGGTTCTAAATATTTCTGTAATGGTGAAACACAGCATGCAGAAACAAAGTCCATTAATGATGTAAGTTATATTCAACAACACAATGTAAGTTATATGCAGCTCTACATGAATTTTAAAATACTATTAGTTTTATAATTCAAAATTCTCAATATATATGCACATTATTTCAAGTGAAAAAAATTAATTCTGCCTTGAGTTTTAAACGATTATCTACTTGTAGTTTAGCGAGTATCTTTTACATGTTTTGAAATCATTAGTACAATGCTACTTGATTATCAATTTCTTATTGGTATTGCAGGTAGGAACATTACGTTACATGGCACCAGAAGTTCTCGAAGGAGCTGTGAATCTAAGAGACTGTGAAAGCTCATTAAAGCAGATAGATGTGTATGCCCTAGGTCTAGTGCTTTGGGAGCTAGCTACTCGCTGTTCAGACCTTTATCAGCCAAATGCAGAAGTACCTCCATACCGCTTACCCTTTGAAGCTGAAGTTGGTAGGTTACCTAGTAATCTTTCTATTTAACATGAATAACCTCTTAGAGAAACTTGTGTTTTATTCCAAATAGTGCTGCTAATATGAGGCACATTTCTGAGACTTCATAATATATTATGAACATTCACTGAAAATATGATAATCGATGCACTTAGCGTTCTGTAGCATTTAACTTTGCAGCTAGATTGAGTGCTCAATTCTTGATGTCCTAACATTGGAAGTTTGCTTTGACTGCCTGATAATCTCATTCAACTTAGCTTTCTGCTTCTATTTTGAGTTTGTAACTATGTATCAGAGTCAAGTCAGATCGGTCAACATTCAGTCAGTTAGATCTAACATCCATTTGGGTAATTTTGTGTAATTTTAATTGTTTGCAATATACACCCAATCTGTACTTTCTGCTTGTTTTTCTATGTGCTATTTTTTCTATTGAAGGACACCATCCAACATTTGAGCAAATGCAGGGCCTAGTGACGAGGCATAAAGCTCGCCCCCTATTCCCTGAGACATGGTGGGATTGGGCAGGTGTACGTCTTCTCAGAGAGACTGTAGAGGACTGTTGGGACCAAGATGCAGAGGCGCGTCTTACTGCTCTGTGTGTGCAGGAACGCCTCTCAGAGCTTCCTGGTCTTTGGGACCGGCAGCGTGGTAAGGATATATTGAGGACATTGTCAGAAAAAGGTCTCATACAACAAACAGCATTTTTTGAAATGGTGATGGAATATATTATTGTGGTGTAAGTGATTAAATACTTTGGTTCTTTTGTGTGTTTATCAATTTCATAAACACATTTAGAATCAATTCTCATTCCTGTTTGTTATGTAAATCCACACTTGCTTAAGAGAAGGGGCATACTGGCCTTTGTACCTCTTTTCTGGCAAAGTCCTCAACTACTCGCAAAATTTTCTCTCAGTTTAAAAATATCTCTTAAAAATAGTTTTTCTTCACACTTTTTTTCATATACCATCCTGAAATAATGTTTATAACATTGTTTCCTGTGTCTCTAAGATAGTGTCATAAAGTTTGAGCAACTGAAGCACAATAGAAACTTGTTTCTATAAACATTATTACTCTTGGTTTGATGTTATTCTGCTAAAAGGTTTTTTGGATCGAACATCTGCAATAAAATAGCAATAAAAAATTAAAATCAGACCAGATTGCCAAGAGAAGTGGTGTTACTGGCACTTCAGCAAACAGTACAATTGCATAGTTTTCACATAACATAGTTCAGTTTCGTAGGTTGAGTAATGAGGTAGAAGGGGCTGCAGTCGCTCTTGCTATTTGTGTGACTTCGTGCAGTAAGTCAGCACTGCGTGCACATCTAAGAAATCTAATGCTTTGGGACTTGAGATCTGCAATGGCAGAAGGATTAAATATCCCTGGCTTTCACACATACTAGGGATGTACTACATTGATGATTAAAAGCTACAGGAGCTGAATTGTAAAGTCACTATCAGTTTCAAGTAAATCCAATATCAGTTAGTGAAATAAATCAAAAATATAGATTTATTACAAAGAGCATGTATCATAGAACAAAATTATTTTCTAAAAACTAATAAATGAAGGAAGGATGTAATAAAAACGTGACCAACAGCATGAAAAACTGAAGAGTTTAATTGGAGTATCCTACTTCTGTGCCAAAGGAATGGAAGATCCCTATAAAGGCAAGGTGCACTTTCGTACATACATGTGATTTTTGAGCCAGTAGTGGACCTAATCTTTGATTTGCACTCTGTTTGATTTCACGAATGAAGTGTGTTGAAGTGACTGTAAAAAATATCAGAGAACTAAATTTGATTCCTTCGTGGGACGTGGCAACCAGTAGCAACAATAGCAAATGAAACAAGATTTCATCTGGTGGACCTTTCAGGGTTTCCCTTGAATCACTTTACGGTACCCTAGAGGACTGCAGTTTGAAAACTGAATACTAATATTAAAAGAATTAAATTTTGTTCTACTATTCATTATAATGAGTTATATTAGTTTGATTTCACCCTGTAATTTTTGGCTGGTTACCCCTAGTTTATTAAGAAAAAAGGTTTTTTTGAAAGTAATCTTTATGTAGTCAAAATACTGTAAAAAACAAAGAACAGAAACTTTTAACATGAAGCAGACTAATTGTTAGAGACATTTTTAGGATTGTGTTATATATTCTTTTAGCTTATCTAGTAACAATTTCTCTAACGATTACGGTCTACTTCATGTTAAAAGTTCTTTTCTGTGTGACTAAAAATTTGTGTTAAGAAATTTGATGATAAAAGAGCATTTAGACTAATATTAATACATACTTTTAGACTAACATTAATAATAAAAAAAAAAAAAAAAGCCCAGAGAAATATGTGCTCTTCATAAATGATACATTAGAAATCCTTGTTTCAGAGAAGTATGAGAGAACTATGTGAAACAGAGGACAACAGAAAAAAATGTACATATAATTTCCTTTTCGTTGCAGCAACAATGTATGTATCTGGTGTTAGTCCAACTGTGAACCCTACATTTCCAAGCAGTGGAAGTGGAGGCACTGTGACTCAATCCAATGCAACTGGTGGGCAATCTCAGCGTTGCAGTGCCACTAACAATAACATCAACAATTATAGTGTGGCTGGTGGGGCTGCAGTTCTAGGCTCTGGTTGTCAGACACAAGAATGCAGCAGACCTTTGCTCATGGAGCCTTCTGAAGATAATAGTATGTTTCATGACTTTGTGAATACATTTTCTTTTCTCATTTCTTTATCTGCCTGCTTCTTTATGACCTTTCTTCCTTGCTGAATTATTGTCGGGAGCTTCTGAATCCGAACCAGTGGCTGAAATATGTGGGTTTAATAGATGCTGAGCACCCTTCCTTGTATCCTCCTAATATGCACCCATGAGAAATCCTGTATCTCTCATTTTAACAACAGTTTCCATGCATCAGCATTGATCAGGCTGAAATTTACCTTGTGTTCTGGTCAAGGTTATAAAAAGGTATGAGAAAAATAAATATTTGCGGAATGATGTTTACATGCACTACCGGAGGGTTAAATAGATAATTAATTGTATATATGAACATGCATATATGCATCAGAGGCATCAAAATGTGCAATACTTTGTAATAGAAGTGATTAATTTTTCATCATTCAAAAATGTTTATGTATGTAGACAGTCATTAATATTTGCTATAGATCTCAGGCTGTCAAATTCTGAACTTTCCTATCTTTTTTGTTTCTTTTGGTACTGCTGATGCTTTTCAACACAGAAATTCTACTCCAAAATTTGATTACTTTTCTTTTCATGCTTTGTTGTTAAGTAATGTTGATAATACTATTATGAAAATTGTTTTTAGTGTTTGAATGTGAAAATTTGTAAAAGTCTATACAATATTAAATTGTTTCTAACCATGTTATGAGAGCTAGTTCTTTTATACCTTAAGTTTTTATTTGGATATTTTCAGGTATTTCTGCGAGACCTGTGAGCCAGATGAGTTCATCCTATGGTAAAGAAGCTCGGGAATCAACTGTTTCAGAGGGCACTGTAGAGACAATGGTTACAATGTCTCCATCTGAACCTCAAGTTCTAGACACTTGTGAGTAATCTTAACTACTCGTTTTTCTTGTAATACTAGTCCTGAAAAATGAACAATCCTATTCCCACTATGGTAGAAATTAACCATCAGGTACAAAAATATTTTTTAATAAATGACTAATTTCAAAGCAATGGTCATGAGGTGGTAAAAGGTTCTTTTTAAAAAAACTCTATATTTTGAGTTTTTTCTGACTAAATAAAATATCATGCAGAAGTTGCAAACATCTGTAACTCAGTATCTGGACATTGTATTTTGTAATATTTATTTCTTAAATGCACAGTAAACAGCTTCTCTTGTTTCCTCAAAATTGATGGGTTTTGATATGCTTTACCGTCTTTCGATGAAAATAAGTCATTACAATCTTATCAAATTCAACAAGGGATCAAAGTTTTTTGGTTCTTGCAAAATATTGTTTGGACAAAAAAATTTATTTCAATAACCTAACCAAATTTACCAATAATTTGTAATGACAATAACAAATCATTTTCATTTTGAATGTACAATAACTAGGACTGCATTATTAAAGAAGAAACTGAAAATAGGAAATTTAAATTACTCCCTCTAGTTTTGAAAAAATTGATATATCCTAATGTTATAATTTGTAGATAGAAATAATTTAACCATTATCCTGTTAGTGAAGGTACAGAGAATAATATAACTGAATAAGGGAAAAAATGGCATTATTTTCCTTGTGATTTTTCAAATATTTAGTAATATTCTTGCGTAAATGTCATCACTGCATGTCATAACTCAAACATTATATAAATCCTCTTGAAAAAATCATATTTTAAATAGTTTTTTTTTGGAAGGAAAGCTCACAATTAGTATGATACATGTGTAACTACATACTTTAAAAATTGAAATTCCTTTTACAGTTAAGAACTCAAATATGGCAAATGGGAATATTGGACATGGAGGCTACGCCTATTCCTTCAATAGTGGCAACAACCTGCAGCCATCAGTTCCACAGTCATGCTGCTATCCTTCTAGTCCTCCATGTGGGGGTCCTTTACAAGCCTTTCAGGTATGTGCAACTTTGAGGTGAATGAAAAATTTCACCAAAATTCTCCTCTTTTCATTTTTCCCCCCAGCTTTTGGATAATCAAAGCTTGTAGCAAAGCGTGTAGCTTGGCAACACGTTATTCCTATCTTTCTTGTTTTGTTTGATATATTGCAATGTTTGAAAGCTTACAAGAGAGCTTTAGTAATCCAGATTTTATTGGGCCAGACGGTATCAGGTTAAAAAGTATTCTGGATTACTGAATTTTATAAGAACAAAGATCTGTTTTTATTCACTAATTTAGCAAAACTAATAATAGAGTATAGAATACTGTATAAAGTACCAAAATAAGGAGAAAAAGAAAGTAAGGAAAAAATACCTACGAGAAAACCTTGTCCCTACCAAGTACAATCCTTAGTTTTATGTCCCCAACTTTAATATCTAAAGTATCTTATATATTTTATTTACTTAAATATAGTTTGTCTATTTGCAGAACTACACTCTGATCAATGCCTGATATTATTCCTTGCAATATCAAACCATATATTTAAATAAAAAAATAGTATTAAATAAATGAATAAATACAGAAGTATGTTCTACTGAAATATTCAGTCCATTGCCCCATAAACTTATCATTCATGAAAATCTAAAACATTTGTGTAAGCCTTGGCTTGTGACGAGAGATTGTTGAGTGTGTCAGATTGGCAAAGTGTTTTATAGAGATTCTACTACATGATTGAAAATGTGGACAAATGTAGTTTGCATGCTTTCAGAATTCAGTAACAATGTTTCATGATTGTTTTTAAGTTTATTACAGATGTTGTGGTTTTTGTAGAAATAGTCTGTGTAATAAAAAGGGTGGTATATAAACACTTGTCATGAGAAAATTTATAATTACATTTTCAGAGAACACCTAACCTATATTCCATTATTTGTTACGGAGTGTGACTAAATATGTTTAATAAATTTCATCAATTGAAAGGCATTGTAGATCATATGCAAATAAAATGATATAGTCCTGTTTATTGTCCATAACCCACCTGTTGAAAAATATTAGTGATTTTGGCATTTGGATACTGGTTGGGTTTGTGGAAATGGTTTGACCAGGACAAGCAAACCATATGAATAATTTTGCCTTATTTAACATTGATTTAATTATGTTTGTCAAGGTTTGTTCAGAAAAAGTTATGTAGTTCCTTTACATATTTTACTTCATCATTTTTTCATATTTTAATTTCCTCCTTTATGCCTTATCATTCTACTGAATTCTTTTCATTTATTGATCCCTATTGTTTATCTCTCATTTGCTGTACCTCATAACCATATTCTGACATTTCTGTTGTTTTCCCAGACAACTTTAAGACTGAAGGTTAAAGGATTTTTCTCTGTTATGATATGAAATTTATGTATATAATAAGGAATATTTTTGTAGTTTAACAGAAAATATCTGCACATTTGTTACAATTATGAGTATTAGGGAATCATTTTCGATACTACAATGTGCAAGGGTAAAGTTATTCTATGGCAGGGTGAAAGTCTAATTAAAAAAAAAAAAAAAAAACTGTACATTATTATTTTTATATAAAAATTGAACGATAAATATTTTAAATAATTATTAAAAGAAATTGCAATGAGTCTTTCATAAGAGTAATAAAGAGCAATAAGAGGCATAAGAATAATTCTCATTTTGACAATTTTTGTATCAAAAGATTTGACAAACTTAATTTTTGGCTTGAAGAACTTGCTAAACAAATCTTATATAATCTCTTGATGCCTGCTTGAAATGTTATTGTAAGATTATATTATTGATCATTTTTGAATCACAGATATACTTGTTAACACTAGAACTCTCAGTTTACCAATACCCTGTAAAATACCCAGCAGAGTCCTTTGTCCAACTGAACTTTCAACAATACTTCGTAGAAGGAAATAGTGAAAAAAAAAAAGTATGTACATCACTATTAAACTAATAAGAATAATAATGTAGTGTATAAGAGAAGTATTATGCCTTATCTTAAATATATTTAAAACATTTCTTGCATTACTGTTCTGTGGGATGAAAGTTAAAGAACCATCTTTTCCGGAATGTGGAAGTAAACATAAAAAATAATAAGATGAAAAGTAAACTTTCATGTATAAATAAAATTTTTGTAATAGTATAATAGAAAAATGTTATAAACATTTCATTTTAAGTAATACCAGTTCCGCATGTGACATAAATGTACATTTCCTTGACACTGCCCTTCCCATAAACTACTGTTTTGCAATTGTTGCTTACTTTATTTGAGAAATTTCTTGTACATAATTTTTTACCACTCTGATGAGGACTTGTGTAATTCTAAAATCATTGGTAGATGTCTTATCAAATTCATTGTGTTATTTCAGTTTGTTAGACGGTAGATGTATGAGGCTATTAATTGGATGAACTTAAGTCTATATAAATTGAATAGATGCCTTCCCTTTCTTGTGGCAATAACTCAGTGCCAACTATTTAAATGGAAAATCCAAGTTCGATTCTCTGTTCCTCCAGCATTTTTGTTAAGTACTAAAGTTCCCTTCTAACTGAAAACATAAAAGTGTGATCAATGCAAAGGTCTATCATATTTATTGTTGTCTCAATCGGGAGAGGTGGCTCAGGGCGGATCAACTGATGACACTGCAGTACCTCTGACTGAGGTGTCTTGGATTCGAGTCTCGACAGTGGTAGGATTTTGACACTAGCTAGATAGCTAGGTTGAGTACAGTTGCTGTCAGGTGGAGAATTCTATTGGCCAACTACTCTTATCAGTAGTTTTCTGTGGTTTCTCCGATGAGTCCCAGGTGAATTCTGGAGCAGTGCCCTAGCAAATGGCCATGGATCATGTGTGATCTGTCTTTCCATTTGTTTGTCCTATCCTAACCCCTTACTTACATATACTTACACAAACATGCACTACACTACCACACATGCCAAAAGACCAATCGGGAGCTCAGAGCTTTTCCCAGCTGGGGCGGTGTCTCTTGCCTAGTTGAGGGAAAGCCCACTAGCTGACGGTAGGTCGGAACCAGATCTCACCATCTAGTGGGGCAAGATTACCTCCACCTCTCAAGGGGTGAAAAAATATGTATACTTGTGGGACTAATGTCCTTTGCAGTTGACTTGCCTGGAATCACTAATCAATCAATCAACTGTTGTTTCATTTCAATTTATGAGAGTAGTTTATTATACTGGTTACAGGTGTGATGATATGAACCAAAAATGTTTGCTTTCTTAACCTTACTCTCCTTCTTTGCCCCAAAATTTACAAGCCATTGTGTGTTCCAAGCACACCATGGTAATGCAGGAGTGGGTTTAAAATAAAGAGCTGCCAGGAATACAGTGCTCAATGAATTAGGTGCATAGAAAGTTAATAGAGTTGAAGTATTCGTTTTAATTTTTCATAGTGTAAGGAGAGATTTAGTATATTTATTCTTAGACAAAACATTGAATTACTTTTACTTTTTGCTACTTTTCAGAAACCTTGCACTCTATACCTTCTATAACCATGATTTTTCTAAATCTTTTACTTTTTTAATGTGGGTTTATTCTCCTGAAATATTAATTTCAAATTAACGAAAACATTAAAGTTTCATAGGCATCCTGCTTCTCACATTGTTAAATAATGTCACCTTTCCTTATCTGGAAGTCAAGCGTAGTTTTCTCCCTCTTCTTCCTCTTCTTCTTCCTCCTCTTCCTCTCTTCTTCCTCTTGTTCTTCTTCCTCCTCTTCCTCATCATCATAAACTTTTAACAAGTACTTGTACTACAGCATTGTGGTAAGACAAATACGAGTGAATAGTTTTTCCTTTGTACCTGATGTATCGATTTCTTTTAGTACATTTTTAAATACTTTGCTTCTTATTTACTAATTGTAGTGACAGTACACATAATTATTTTATAGCAGGTGCAGAATAAAGCCAGAACATAAAAGTTATTTTTGCATTATGTTTGAAAACTGCTGTAAGTTAAAAAAATTGTGGCTTATATGTGATTATGTGATGATGTTTGTGTCCCTAGGGTCGTAACCCATGTATGGAGCGGAACCTAATGCTGGCAGCAGGTTCTGAGGAAGAACTATCATGCAGGGGAAACACGCTTGTGGATCGCTCCCTGAAACATGCTTATGAGAGTCAGGCTTTGGTATCTCATGACTTTCTAGCAGCTGCTGTGGCTGCCACAGCTGGACCCAATTCTGCTGCCCCTGTTCCTACTGGTAAGAGTGCTAAAGTGAACTCTCTTGAAATGTATATTAGATTTTTTTACAATTATCAAATATATTGAGGTGCATTAATGACAAGTATGAGACCTCATTTATAATAGAATAATGGAAATGGATAAGTTTTCTTCTTTCAATAGAGTCAGTCATGTTGAACATAATTGTTATGAATTATGTTGAAGATTATTTTTAAGTTTAAAAACCTCATGATGATGCGTCCATAATAACATGATTCAAAAGTAGATTAAAATTAATGAGGTAATGAGGGGGTGGGAATGCTGCCTTTTTTAAAAGAATCCTATGTCATGTGTTAATTCCTGCACTATTTATTGCACTTAGTTGTGCTTTAAATCATGCCCCTAAATTTTTGATTTGTACTGATAAATTATCCATTTTCATAGAATTCCACAACTACCCATTTGCCAAAGTCATTCATGATATCAAATACAAGGCATTGTGTTGTGCAGTGGTTCTCAAACTTTGTGATGCGATCCCCAGGGTTGGAGGAAGTCCTTGAAAGGAGGAGCGGCATATTTTCCTTAAAACATATAATCTTCTACTCTTAATAGAAAATACCAAAGGATGAAAACCAATTTCTCTGTAGGAAACCTCAAGATTTTCCCTTTCTGCAGAACAAACAGGATGTCATTCAGCTGCGCTTCTCTCCTCTGTGATTGTAACTCGTTATCTGATATTGTCGCATTCTGCAAACTAACGTATTGTGTGCAGAGATAGCTTTGTCTCGTGTATCACAATGACTCCTTAGTGTTTCGTGAATCGTGAGGCAAACTTGACATGAGAATGAAGCTGTTCCTGATTAGTGACAGAAAAGATTGGGATATGCACTGACGGTGCTCACTCAATGTCTGGAATTTGTGGTGGATTGCAAGTGAAAGTTAAAGCAGTTGCTCCCGATGCAATATGGATGCTCTGCATGATACATGGCAAAGCTCTGACTGCCAAAGAATTTAGTACAACCCTTCATGAAATGCTGCAGACAGTGAATGTTATTAAGGCAAAACCATTAAATCCAAGGCTATTCAAAGTGTTGTGTGAGGAAATGGGTGTGAACACACTCAACTGCTCCTCTTTAGTAATGCTCGATGGCTTTCAAGAAGTCAGGTGCTAAAGAGAATGCTTCAACTACGGAACAAGGTATTCTGTTTCTTACAGAAGAAGGCCACCCTCTGGCAGATTGGTTTAGCTACGAACATTTTCTCTTGAAAATGGTTTACTTCACTAATATTTTTGAGGAATTAATATTCTGAATTCTTCACATGAAGGGAATCAGGTAACTGTGCTATCTTCAAATGGAAAAAGTAAAGGCTTTCATGAAGAAATTGGAGCTGTGGCGCAGTTGGATGGAAAATGACAAGCTAGATATGCTTCCTACTCTATTATCACTGTTAAAGGATGCCAATAATTTGGTACTTCCAATGGAGATAAAGTGGCACCTTCTGCATCTTACAAAGCTAAAAGGTCACTGTGAGAAATATTTCTACAATGATTTTGAGAAATTTAACTGGATTAGAAGTCCATTCGAAAATGTTCCTGGACCAGCATCATTTTTAGATATAACTGAGTAAGAACAACTCATTGATCTCACTTGTAATACATCATTGAAGAGTAAATTTAATGAAGTGTCTTTCTTTGAATTCTGGATGCATATTAGCAAGGAATACCCAAAGCTGGGCCAAACTGCAATGAAGACCTTGATTCCTTTTTCAACTACTTACTTGTGCAAGACAGGTTTCTCAACTTTGGTAGCTATGAAGTCTAAGTTCTATTTAAAGCTAAATGTAAATAAAGAATTTCGAGTGACCATTTCTACTCTAACTTGATCAACTTTCTTGTCAAAGCAAGCTCATCCATCACTCTGAATTTTGTAATTGAAGTTCTGAATTTTCTTGAAATTCTTGTTATCTGCTGAGTAAACATTGTCTTATTTCATAATTTTTGAATAAACAAAAACATGAATAATTTTAATGTATTTTTTATATATTATATAATATAATGCATCCTTTCTGGTCATGCAGAATTCTGTTGATCTGAATTAGGTAACAGCGAGAATAGTGTAACGAATTTTTTTAAAAGAAAAATTGCTTCTACATTTAATAAAAGAAATAGGCTGTGAGTGTAAAGATATACTCTCTCATGGGGGGGGG